TACACCCAGCACAGATTGACCCTTTCTCAGTAGGCCTGCCTGACCCTCCAGGACCCAGCTCATTTCAACTATAACCACACGACCCCACATAGGAGAGAGAACCCCAAGCTCCCCCCACACAAAAGGGGGAGGGGGGGACAGCACTGAGTCAGGCCCACTTTTCGCTCAATACACCCAGCATGTGACTCAGCCTGCCATGACCATCCAGCCAGCCTTCGCCATCACCCAGCACGATCCACCCGGCCTTGCTCCACAACACCACAGCACTGACCTCCAGGCTGCCTGAACTCCCAGGCGCGGGCCCTGACCAGGCTGCTGACTCCCAGAGCCCCCAGCTTCCTCATACACCCAGCCCTGGACCAAACTTGCCTTGGTGTCTGGTGCCTCCTTCTGGACTTCTGGCCTTCATCATCATCACTTACATGCTCTGGGTTTTCCTCTTCCGGAATCATCCACATACTACTCGGGTCTCCAATCCTTCAGTAGGCAGTCCATTCCTCATCCTCCCTCCCATCCTCATCATGCGATCAATCACTCATCTTCCAGCTTGCCCACTGCTCACTCGAATTCCCATCCATAATCCATCCTCAGCACTCAAACACGATTGTTTCCCCATCTAAAACACCACATGCACAGACAAAAAACCAGATTATTCTGTCACTTTTTTCTGAAGTAGTCCAGTTTTAGTGACCCTCAGAAAGCAAAACAAGTCTGCTATCAATTCATACCAGCAACACCCAACTAGTCATCAAAATCATCATGATACACGCAAGTTCATATCAATTTTTGCTCTGAAATGTACCAAATAATGTAATTTAAACATTTAATTAGTCTAAAAAGCTATGCATGTCTATTTATAAAGCGATGATACAACAAAATACAATTGAAGATTTTAGAGACATGACCTAACACCACCACACTTTATATAATTGCTCACATTGCATCAACCCACGTAATGTCATGATTCTTCACAAAAAATTTGATTTTTTTTCCCTTAACCCTTAACCTTTTTCAAAATCTGGCAGCAAAGCTTTCTGCAAAAACCACAGTGTCCCACTTCCTGTAATGCAGTCTGTAGCCAGCGAAGCCCTCCAGTGAGCACGCATTACATGCGCCCCCTGGGGATCAATCCGTGTACTGCATGGTATATAATCTGTAACATCGCGGTTTTCTCAGGAAAAAAATCTGTCAACGCATGCTCAATGTGAGGGCCCAAAAACCATGTCATCAAATATGACCGCACGTGGCGTTATAACAACTGACAATTCATTTTATTGTAAAGAAATAGAAAATAAAAAGAGTCAGGTGACTTAGCATGCTAATATTTGCTAAATATGATATAATAATAATAAATATACAAACAGTACAGCCAAGGCTGATGTCATTAGTTTTTCAGGCATTTGGTCATAAAGCAATACTGGACAAATTTTACTTCTAGATGATCCAGACCAGATTTTCAAAGTAGGAGGCTGGCCACCCCAGTGGGGCTACGAACAGTTTCAGGGGAAGCTCAATGAATGTGAAGAAGTATTACATCAGTTATTACATTAGTTATCAAAAGTACATCGCATAGAATAGCCGTTTGTGATTTGGTTAAAGAGAAGGTCCGAAGATACAGTAGTTTGGGGAAATTTGACTGTGTATTTGGTATAGTCTGAACTACTGTGATACAAGTTAGGCTATTGTGGCTCAAGTCTTGAGTGTCTATAAGATTAAATAACATAATAACGCTCCCATATACATCCATTAAGTCAACAAAACTAAGCAAGTAAATTAAGGGGGGTGAGGGAATGGAGGTGTGCAAAATTTTCATTTCAGACTTTGAAAACCCTTGCTCTAGATGAAGAGTTAGGGGATCACCAAATAGATTAGAAATGGGGAACATGAATTTGTGAACTAAACTCATTGTCAATCCATGTCCATCTAACAGCTGTAGAAACATATCACATTTTACACATTTTCTTTGTTTTTCATTGACAGCATGTCCAAAACCTGAAATTCAGAATGGATTTGTAATTGGCCCATTCGATGGCATTGTGTACTACACCTGCATTAAAGGTTATAAGCTTTTCAACAAAAGCTGGTGGAGTGCCGCCCATTGTGATGACGGAGTGTGGTCTGGACTTGTGTCAGAACGATGCATCGGTAATTCATCTTTAATGCCTTACAGGTGTAGTTGTTGTAACCAGCATGAAGCAAACTGGCCACAGTGGCCTTGTGATGTAGAAAATCAACTCTGAGCTGACTGACAACTGTGACAAGCTGTACATAATTTTTAAAAGGAAAATTTAAATATTTTGGAATAAGTGAACATTTCCTAGGGATATAATCAATCAGTATTTTCTGAAAGTGAGGTCCCAGTGAGTGCATTTAGAAAACTAAATCTGGTATGACTGCAGCCACAGCATATTTTACAATGAGCTAACTAAACAAATTATTCCTGATAACATTCATAAACTTTTACTGATTTTGAAAGGAACGATTTTGTTTATTTATTAATGATATAAATTTTGTTTATGTGTTACTGATATTATATTTTGAATGTTTGTAATAATATCCCCTCTAGAGGAAACAAAATGTGGAAAAATTCCAGTAATTCCTAATGGGGAAGTGAAACTTCAACATCAACATCATGATTATGAACAAAATGAAAGGGTCGAGATTACATGTAACGAAGGATACCAGGCTCGTTTTGACAGCTTAACTTGTCGTGAGGGACAATGGCGTTCGGATGCATCATCACTTGAAACAATCTGTGAACGTGAGTCATATTCTGTTTTATCAGTTTTATAAAAAAGATTAAGGGGCGTAACCTAATACTAATGTGTTAATGTGTTGATCTCTTCCAGCGTTGCAAAACTGCAGTCTCCCACCCAAAGTTGAGAATTCAGTTGTGACTTCATATAAAGAGAACTTTGAAGTCACTTATCAGTGCCGTACTGGTTATGAAATGGAGGGAGAAAATACACTTCAATGTAGAAATGGAGAATGGAACCACAACATTACATGTACAAATGGTACGTGCAGCCAAAAGCATTTCACAGTCATTCAGTCACAGTCAAGTCATTTAGCCTGCTGATTTTTTATTCAAGTACTATTATGAATGTTTAAAAAAACAATGGAAATTAAATTTTGTGTTTGGTGGTTTGGTGCTGTTGATATATTTTGTGCATGTGCACATAAAATTGCATTGCATCACTAACACTGGTTATCATATTGGATTATCGTGTTTTGAGTAAAGGGTCCAATATCCACACTCCAGCTCTGTATGGTCCCCACCAATTGT